TATTTAAGTTTTTATTTGTATAGTTTGTAAAATAAATTACAAGGTTTCTCAATAAATGATGATAGTAAGAATTTAAAAAAATTTGCAGAACGACACATTTTTGAGGGTTTGAATTTAAAATGTAGACAAAATTCTAAAAAATCGTGAATTATTTTGTAGACGTATTATCTGACAGTGTCTTCACTCAGAATCGTTTTTTATCGTATACAATGATGTATCATTAAATTCAAATTTAACACATCCATTACAGTGATCTACTAGATGTCGACGTGCACATGACATCTACTATACCTACATCAGAGTGGTTATCTACTTGTTCACTATTTTATTTTCACTTTTATAAACGGTTTATCGTTTTTTTACTTTGGATTTGATCCGAAGAGTTATCTAAATTTTTGAAAAATATACCAACCGTACTACCACGAGGCAAGTGAACACGAAATAAAACGAAATAGAGAAAACAACTGACGATGATCGATTTAGATTTCTCACAAAACATTTTTTTTTCGAACAGGTGGGATCAAAGTTAATATTTTCAGTGTGAATCGTCGTTACCGGGTATGTATTACCTAATCATAATGCGCAATGGGCTATGACTTTATTTCTTTCATTTTTAAGAAACCGATCGGATCAACATAAGGTTATTATTATTTCCACTCTAGATCGCACGAAACCGCGTTGTCGGCGGCGAATGAAAAGTGGAAAAACAAAATCCACCTGGCGATCCTGGTGAGTGGCAAATAAAATGATATTAAAATTGATAAATAATAAATACAATATAAAATATATATTTTTTTAATATACTATAGTACGTCGTTCACACATTGCTTTTCGCTCTAAAAGCGCGTGTAATACATTATATAATAAACCGTGACCGGAGAAACGAATCGGTTTGACCGATTGACAAAGTCGACCCCATCATGGAGTGGGGACACGGTGGGTAAATGGTGGTTGGACGACACGTGAGTAATACGAACGTTGTCCCGCAAAGTTCCGTAATATATGTTATCTACTTTCGAAGTTCGCATGTACAGGGAGGTTCTCGGAGCATGCTCCGTCCCTATTTTCATCCCTTAATAGTCCATTTATTTAACTTTTGATTTTTATATTTTTTAAATGTATACTTTAAGTGCACTCTTAAAGACCTTTATTTTCTAAAACTCATATTTTCTGGTGCCACTCGAAGAGAATCAACCCAGTGGTGATACAAACTTTTTTGTTCTGCAAACGAGAACCACCATTTTTTACTGTAAATTGTTTAGTCATCGTACAAAAAGGTGGTATTTTTTTATGTCTAATCGACTGACAATACTATTGGATTTTGATGAGATAGATTTTATATTGAAATTTGTATGATTACTTCATCAAATTGTTAGTTTTTTTATTAAATGATTTCACCGCAATAGTCTAGTCTAATCGTATTGATTTACAATTAGTTTGTTTTTTCACTGGAGTATGAATGTACATAAAAGTCGTATTTTGTATATTTTTATTTTTATTATAATATTAAAAATGGTTTTAAGAATATTATAAAATGTTAGAATAATAGCCCAACCGTGGTCCTAAAATTGTATATCGTTTCAAGTTTTTTGGAAATAGTGACCATAATATAATTGTATGTATTGTATCTGAATATGCACTGATTAAAAATAAACCATTCATTCATACAAAACGATAAAAAGACATTCTAGTGTTGATTTACGTGTCAGTTGTTCCACATTGACAGTAATTATTATAGTCACCAAAATATCGTTATAATTTTCCTGTATTGATCTCCTTAAGACACGACCAATTGTAATCCATTTAAACAGTTGGTTTTTTTAATCTGTCTAAATCGCAAATTGAATAAATATTTCGTCTGTTTTGTCAATTTTTTGTCTAACTTAAATTGTTTTGTAAGCCTAAAAAAATCATCTCCTTAACAACGTTGGTACAGTTATAATGAATGGTTGTCATATTTTAAAAACAAGGGGTTTGTATCACCACTACACATTAGCCTAACCTAACCTAACCTAACGACATAGAAAATACAAGTGTTAGGGAATATTATAGTTTTTTTTTTTAGAAATACTTAAAAATTACAAAAGTCGAAACATCTGAAATAAACGCACAGTTTTTATTAGAGAAAACCAATGACGAGCGCTTTTGTTGAATCACCCTGTATTGAAACCGTTTTCTCTCAATTAATTGACGCCAATACGTCTCGTCCGACATTCTACAGTGTAATCGGTCTTGTCGGGGCCGAGTTTCCCGCGTGTGGAAACACATTATCTCCTATCGCCGATCACGAACACAAGTGTTTCACTTTATTTCTCATAAATTGTATGCTGCCTTCAAGTCTGTCCAAAATTGTGATACACGAAGACTTACAAATTATATGTGCATTATCTCAGTGAAGTACGCAGTGGAGCGGAGGATAAAGGTTGCCCACATTGATCTTATTATTATCATATTTTTTTGGTTTTATATTTTTCAAGTTTCAATAATTCTATTAAACTATTAATCAAGAATGTATTTATAATTATGTACGTATCAAAGGATTGGTTATAGCCAACATAAATAAAAAAAGAAGAATTTACAGAAGTTGAAATGCACAAAAAATTTTAAATGCCTTTCCTAAACTCCTAAATCGTTGGAATAAACAAAATTAAAATTAAATCATATTGTATTGCTAATCGTTTTTATGATAAAAAATGTTTTCGAACATATTTTCATTTAATTTAATATTTCATATCAGTAAGAACCAAGAAGTAAATACTTAATTTTTCAAACCTAATGTTGTGAATTGCGTGATAACTGTGAGTAGGTAATTATTTACTTTCAAGCCATCTGAGTACGCCCTCTGGTTAGCAGCTGATAACAGTCAAAGGTATCGGAGAAAATTAAAAAAATTGTCCTGTGTTTTCGAGCATTATTTTTCCGAGTCTTGGCGCAGAGCTTGTAGTCGAATAACTCTAAGTTCTATAATTAAGCTGCTAATCTTACTGAGATGGTGTATCTACAATATTCATTATGAATACGTAATACATAATATACTTAAATTTGGAATAACCTTTCACTGTTCATTCGATGGTTTCTAGTAACTTCGGTCGATAGCCAATACGCCCGTGTGAACGGACACACACATCACTGGCCATAAAATATTTTTTAAACTTAGTTTCAAATATTTATGACAATACTAAAACTGTACAACTTACAGTCGTACACATAGACAACTGTAGTAATTACATGTTTTATTATCGTAGTTATAATAAAACTCGCGTTAAAGGTGCATTGACATTTTTTTTCCACATAATAGTAAATACAATTATATATTTTATTCGATGCATACTAGTAAATATTTTGTGTCCAGGTATTATGCGTAGTTATTTATAATTTTGAAATAATTTGATATTAAAAATAATAATTTGTAGTTTTAGATTTTAAATGTTTAGCGTTAGGTAACAATTATTATGGCAATAATAAGAAGTCTTACATTTAAATTTTTAATGATTCTCCATAAATTATTCTGTTACCAGTACGACAGTACCTATTGCTTGTTATAAAATATGTTTATAAATGGAACAAGGGCACAGCTAGTTTACCCAGTTAAGAAAAGTGTCATGATTTTTAAGTTAATTTATAAAATTAATGAATAGATACACGCTGGTGTATACCTAGGTACAAAATATATGAAAATTCACGTTTTGAACTTTCAACGTTTTATTTAACTGTGTAGAAACTATATCGTCAGTTAAGATCAGACGACTCTTTGATTGATGATACAATTGTTATTATTTTTTTTTAATTCTATGGAACTATAACATTTGAGAGAAAGACGTTTATAGTTTGTATATATAAAGTTAGTTTATTATTTTTTCGACGAATCGCGCTATAGTAAAATGTCAATTACGATGACAGCGATCGTTGTATTCCAGTTTGATAGTTATTTAATGATATTTTAATACTCTAATTGTAACATAATTTGTTTTTTTTTTAGAAAAATAATTTTTCTCAAATGATTTATAAAATATATATTGTTGTCACTTTTTATTAATTCGTCAAAGTATCAAGTACAACGAAATAAATTGATGTGCTCTTATTTTAGTCAACGGCTGTCTTAAATCTAAGTTATATTATAGGTACATAGGTACTTTTGTTGGTAATCAATTATTAAGTTTTTTAAAAATATTTTTTGATTTTTGAGAAATTATCAAATGTATCAATACTGTTAATTCGAAAATAGAGAATACGCTGAGAGATGCAATAGTCGTACTATTGTTTGTATCAGCAATCAGTGTAACACAAAGAGTTCAAAGCTAAAGTTAAGGAAAATCCAAATTTATTATTATAATTGAAGATCTTTATCATACAACTGTATATCAAACTACTTATAGTCGTATGTCTATATTATAGAGTCCCTATTAAGTCATAGAGATGTTTCTATTCATTTAATTTAGATATTGTGTTGTATATTTTTTGATGCTTAGTTTATTTTATGTAACACTAGTAATTGGATACAATTATAATACTAAATACCAAGTAAAAAAGTAGTAAGTACTTACGTAGTATGATTACATAATCATTATATATAATTTATGACCATCAATTGATAGGAAACAAAGAATGATAGTTATCAATATTTATTTTAATTTATTGAAGTAAAAAGAAACATATTTTGTAGGTATCGATTGAATACCAGTAGCTTAATAAAAGAACATTTTTAATTTACTGAAACGATTTATAATTAATTATTTAATTTGAATTGTCCGTAATATGAATCGTTAATAACGAGTAATTATACAAAGTTGTTTTTACTGCTATATAATTATTAAGAATTAATTTTAAAATTAATTTTTGTTAAATCGATATAATTTTTAATAATAATGTAAGACTACTCTGCCTACCTATGTTACCTAAATATTATTATTTTAATCATTGGATATTATCAAAGTATTGATCACTCTTCAATTTACAAATTGTCTTAACATCTTAAACGTAGCTAATCTCATGGTACTTACTCGAATTGTCTGAGTCCTGTGAGCTACTAGCGCCTTCGTTTGTGTCCATAAATACCGGGTCATCTCTATTTCCTTCAACAAACGGATCTTCAGAGTCTGGCGGGCCCGCCACTGAAACAATAATAACATAAAAAGTTAAGTTTTAATTCTCCAATTGGTTCTCGCAAAACAGTAATTGTATATCTCTTGGGGACGTTTTCGGATAGACGAAAAGCTTATTCGAAGGTAAGTTCAACATCGGCACACTAATAAATACCATTAAAATAAACCGACGGCATATACGTCATAGTTTTATCTAAAAGGTATGTTGAATAAATATTTACTTTTTTTCATTTGATCCTGTGATCCAAGGTATGCATAACTTCTAGGCCTACAACTACAAAATATATATTTGAACACAATTTTTGAGTCTTCCTACTCAATAACAACCGACCCAAATGGCTTAAATTTTGGATACGTTAGTAAATATTATTCGTTTTAAGTATAGGTTAGTTGGTTAATAACATTTTGATATTTTAACATTTAGGAAAAGGATAAACTTTTCCTGTGCCACATAAATAGCGTAATGCTTGATTAAAATAATATTATTTTTATTTCTATCTCAATTTATTTTATTGAATATAAAAACTAGACAGATTTATGAAAATAACATAATATATAGAAATAGTGTAGTACAAATCGGAATCATTGAACGAAATTGATTGTGTTATAAATGTACAATAATAAAAATGTTAAGCTATCACACAGCCTTTCACAAATAATCTGTTAACAATTTTATGTTCCCGAAATTGAACATGATTTGACGAGGTTTCTAACGCGCCCATAATCATTAATCAATAAATAATAAATACATTTCATCAATGTAGCAAATACAATTATAATTATGAATTATAAGTAATATAATTATTAAGGTTACGCTATCACGCAGTCTTCTATGAATAATCCGTTTATAATATGATCTCAAAATTGAATATGACTTGACGATGTTTCTATTGCATCCATAATCATTAAATTAATAATAAATACATTTTATTGATCTATTAAGCACGGCTGTCAACACTCACGTAACTTTGAAAGTGTACTTATCGGATTCATATAACAGTTTATTTATTGCTAATTTTGTAGAAAATGTAATAACTATCAAATTTATGGTGGACAATATTGTAGAGACTGAGCTCCAGCAAAGAGTTTTTTCCAAATTTTTATTTGACAGTTGATAGTATTAATTTGAAAAAAAGTGATGGTTTAATTGCCAACCATACTGTATCATTATATAAAATAAAATCATGAAAACAACTCATAGAAATTACACGTCATGTGGGTACAACTTCATCTCATCTTAAATACATTATAATGATAATCAGCTAGTACATCATTAACTGTTGATAAGATTTACATTCCGGTGGGTAGTATATGAAATCAGAAGTGGTTGCTAAACCAATTTTTTACTTTAATAGTTCTCCGGGTCAATTTTTTACTTTCTTAGGTCGATCTACCGGGCTTTGCTCGAGTTAGTCAGGTAACCTACATTGCACCATTTTAATAGCCCAAGATCGTCAGCGGTAGTATCGTTAATAATTTTGGAGAACGAATGTCAGTTCTTACACGAGACCTAGCTGGCACAAAAAATACATAATATTATGTTAGTTCCTGCACGGAGGAAAAGTGGAATGTCTAAGTTAATGTAAAAAAAAGGTGCTTAGAAAATACCTCAATAGATAACAATTCAATTTTATAAGTTTTATAATTCAATAATTTTTAAGAAAAATTATTATACAAAATATGTACAATATTGTAAATTGTCAAACTGATACCTATTACGACATTTGTATGATTATTTACTCCTGGCGTGTGGCGGTTTTAAACGATAATGCGATTTTAGATAAATGTATTGATACATCACATCCGTGCATGACGTGTGATTTCGGAAAAACTGTGAGGTATTGATGTACCTGTATATACAGCAGAGGTGTGCGGATTCGAACCTTTTTTTCTCATTCGAAAGTGTGCGGTTATGACGAACACCGGTCTAGGACCTCACGTGCGATACGTACTTTAAATAAATGTATCGAGAAAATCGTGTGGCGATCCTCCGAACGAAACCCGGAAATATTGAATCTTCGGAACCGGCGGTGGCGGCGGAGTTCGCATGTAGGCAATAATATATAGGTAATAAGCACTATATTTTGAGTTTCCGCACAAGTGCCAGCGCAATAAAATATATATATATATATTATATATATATATATATTTATATGCAGGTAGGTATGTATTATATCATATAGTGTACGCGATACTACGAACGATATTTCTTACGGTGTTTACGGGACGCGGCCGAATAGGTTTTTTCATTTATATATATAATATACTTCCGTATCCGCGTTGCGTGTCCTGGTTATTATTCGAATAAATCGCTCGGTGATTTGTCGCCGGCTCGAGTCATTTCGCACACGTTTTGGCCCGGTGTAACACGCGTATACGAAAAGTGCGCACGCACGCACCCACACACACGCACACACACACACTCACACACACACACACACACACACACACATGCCCACCCGCGCGACCGACACGACACCAAAACGGTTTGACTGTGCCCCGTCGGTCGGGAATAAATGACTAACGAATAAAAACGGCGACGTGTCAGACGTGATAAATGGTGGTTGAAAATAAAAATAAAAAATAATAATAATAATAATAATAATAATACAAAAAAAGGCGAAGCGGAGTAATAATATATATAATATGTCTATATACACAGATGTGTACATATATATATATATATATAGATAGATAGATAGATACATATTAGATATAATAATATATACTATATATAAACGAGAGTATATATTATATACAAAACGGTGCGTGCGTATTATTTTTATTATTACACTCCGGCGGTGTCTGTCGGTATATAAATAATATGACGCGGATGTGCGTATTTCGTATTTCGCACGCTGTTTCAAACCTATAACGCGTGTTCGGATGACAAACTGTGCGATTTTCAGTTAAACGGAAACAGAAAAACGCCCACCGACCAGACGCCCGGGGCTTTTGGTTTTCGGCTCTCGTCGTTATCATTTTAACATAATATTATTTTCATAATGTTCATTTCGCAAAAAACTACTGCAGTTGAACGTGCCGTTAACACTCGGACGCATATCTCTCGTGAAATTGTTTTTTTTTTTTTTTTAAGAATATAAAAAACATAGTACCGCCTTATATTTTAAATGTTTTTACAGCACCCTCGATCCAATTTCGACCCCGTCAGTTTTTTTAGCTCCTCTGTGGGCGATGTCAATCATAATGGTACGTACACCGAAGTATTTCTGACACATTACGAGGCATAAGATCAAGGGCAAAGAATTGGGTGATGCATTTTGAATAGACTTGCACTGTCTCTGCAGCTACTATGTCTGCCTACTTACGACCTACTCTTGGTCTTCCACCCGCGGCCTCTGCCCACCTCGACTACGCAGTTGTCGTCATAATATTTAGTATGCACCCGGTGATCATAACAATAATGTTATTTTAGCGTTTTCCCATTTATCATTTTCTATCGTGTGTGCGCACATCAAGCTTGCTTGCTTGGAATATTTTTTTGGTATTTTTATTATTATTTTTTATTTTTTGTATACAATACCATAATATTATACTCAGACCGAACGCGCAAACAATAGGACATGACGCGGCCGCCGGAGGGCGTTTTGCCCGTGTCGTGAGACATTGTCGTCGCTGCCACCGCCGTCGTCGATTATAAATGTTTGACACTATTCACTGTACAGAGAAACACTGTATAAGCGTGGAAATTACTTTAGACGGTTTCCTCTTTTTGTTTTTCGATTTTCGTTTACACACAAACACACACACACACACACACACACACACACACACACACACACACACACACACACACACACACACACACACACACACACACACACACAC